TGATGTCACAGACATCACATACAAATAGCATTAGTCAGTTCGTAGTTATCAAAGGGGTTGTGTGATGTCACAGACATCACATACAAATAGTATTAGTCCAAGTCAAAAATATTGTGATAATAGTCATTATAATTTTCCATAAATTATAAAAGTGCACAGGTCATTTCGCATGTGCATAGCCTGATTGAAAACTTTAATCTTACATGTTATCAATGACAAGCATTTAGACAGACGGTTGCAGCTTGTCCTGCTATTTAATAAATGTGCATTAAAAAGTGCGTAATGTACCGTTAATTAACAAACTGTTAATGAATGCTTCCACTCGTTATCGTTGACACAAAACATTATTATACCAGTCATTGTGTGTACACTACTGGCCTACCCCAGACACGCATGAAAATACATGGCATAAGCATAGACGTATGGTATAGCCAGGCAGCCACACACTGTCTGATAATGCAGAACCATACTCGCACAGTGTCGGTGCAACATGCAGTATGCACCACCTGCCTCGACGATGAAACAAGTGAACACTCTGTAGATGAAACAAGTGAACACTCTGTAGATGAAACAAGTTAACTGGTGTCATTCTGTCCATCGATGTGTGCAGTTTGAATTCGTGCACACGTAGTACAGCCTCATCCCTTCCTGTTAGAAAATGCAATAGGAATCGGAATATAATTTTACCTGTGTGAGATAAACTATTAAATACAAGTGCAGCAGTATCGTTTTATGACTAAATGTTGCGTTGTATCTGACAGTGACGTAAGCATTAATCTCTCTGTAAGGAGAATAAAATCACTTGTTGCAGCGTTAAATCTGTAGGCGCTTCATCTTTCCATGAATTGCAGCCTAAAGCGGGGGACACACCATGCGAATTTCGCTGCGATCATATCCACAGCGAAATTCGCGGCGAAAATATTCGCACCCGCATGTGATAATTGAGCGGACACACCATGAGAATTTATTCACACGACCGCAGCGGACACACTACACGCGATCTACTGTCTGACTGTGCTACTACGCGATCTGTACGCAACGGTAAAAATCCGCAACGAAAATATCAAACGTTTGATCACTGCGAATTTCGGTGCGGATGAAATTCGCCCGCGCTTGAGCGGACACACTATGCGAATAAATTTGCGTGGTAATTAATGGTGTTCCCCCACTTAAGTAACCAAGCACATTCTTACCTCCCCTCTCTTGGTTTGGGATTGGAAGAAGACTGCTTCCTTGTGACCACATTTCGGACAAGAGTGATCTTCAGTTCGTGGCAATGTTGGATCCGCAATCACATCAGCCACTATGTGTGTCAACTCGCTGCAAAACATAAAAACAACATAAACTCAGTGTTGCAATAAGAGAATGCAGTTCTCTTAAGAGAATAAGAGAAGAAGAGAAACTGTAAGAATATGTTCATACACAAACACACTGTCAAGATCAAAATATTCACCATCTAAAACATCTGTGCATTCCTCGATTACAAATACCAATTAATCATTAGCTTTTACAGGCAGCAGTTAATTGGTAATATGAATCCGATTGATTGTAGCTGCAGCCATTGCACGGAAAATCTTACTAACATTTTCTTAGTAAACTTTATTATGGGTAGGATTTTGCCATTGATATAATATTATTGCCATATCACGATACAAGTCTTGATACACATCGATACGTCCGACCAATCATGATACACTTATCGATACTCTGGCTAAAATCCATAACATTTTATAGCGTCGTTTCATCCAAAAACAAAAGAAACCTAACATGATTCGTAATTCCATAGCAGTAGTTAACCAAACGCTCCACGACGCCGATTTGTAAGCATTCACATGAATGTTTCCATCCCGGTTACGGCGGTTAGGTGTATAGTTTGCTAGGTAGTTTCTCTTTGAAAGTACCACTATACGTATTGTATCGTGACGGCGCCGTATTGCAACATGAATTGTATTGTATGCTACTTGGATCATCACACACCTAACTCTTATGCATCAGCATGCATGTGGTTTCGAGTGTCATCGTGCATGTACATGTATAAGTGACGTGTGTCCATATGCATATCATGGTGTGCTAAGTGGCGAAACTGTCACACTTACTCCACTTCGTGCATAATTTTGTTGACATAGATGCAGTTGTTGTCCGCAATCTGCTGGTAGTCACAATTCCTGCACTGCAAATAACATGAAAGTATGAAGTATACAGTTCATTCCTAAACCATGGAGAGTTGTCGTCTATCATCTATGTTGTACCCAAACTTGGAATCTGCACAATCTCGAGATTGTGCAGCGATTGTGCTGCCCAAACTG